CCCAGTACTGATTTTGAAAGCCCTGTACTGGTATCAGCCTAAAGATATTTATAAAATCACTGTGAAAAGCAGAATTTACCAAAGACAAAAACATCTTCTTCATCAAAAACGCTTCTTTATTGAACATCCTGTATTTGAGACTTTCCAGTGTTGCCTCACCAGACAGTAAAGGGGACAACACTGAAATAGAGATGAATTGTACCTGACAGCAGGGAAGTTGTAGTGAGGCAGTAACACTGTGTAAACAGACGGTGACATCAAGAGGTGCACACAATAAAAAACAACTGAGCAGAAAGGAGCACTGATAGGCAAAAACATGTTTCTACTTACTGCAGTGCCCTCTAGAGGACAAATGATATTATTTTCTTTAGAACAGTCCCACAAAGTGATGCTGAGTCTGTGGAACATTTGCTTCCTGTTTGGCAGCTTTTTGTATAGCATATTTCCACGTGCTGCCATAGACTCCAGCTGCAGATAGGAAGAATTCTGCAGTAGCAAACATGGTGTTCGAAGCAGAATTGAAGTTTTATTTTATCATAAAGATGGTAAACTTTTTAAACACTAACTTTTTACTAACTTTTTAAACCATCTCCTGGGTCTGGGGGCAGATTCCCTCTCCTGGGGTGCTGGTGCTGGGTTATAAATTGTGTGTACTGCGTTCATTTCAGTGTGTTTCCATGTTGGGTGAGTGATGAGAAGGAGCCTGTGGCCGGAGCAGCAAGGTTGCAGGCTCCTTCTCATTAATATCCTCCTCATTAATATCCCTCAAGTGACAAAATCACTTGAGGGATATTAAAGGTAACAGAGTTTGTAGTTGATATTTGTTTTTTCCTGGATGAGCTTCAGGTCTGCTGCTGAGTCAATGTTCCACCTGTTGAGATTGAACAAGCGGTCATAAGCTGACCAGCTGACATCGTAGTACACCTTTGTATTGGTTTGGCTTGTAATAAGTCTGATTCATTAGCTTATGTAAGCCTGTTGGGGAAGAAAAGTACATAACAAGCTAAACAAGTTATTTAGGAGCTGCTAATGCTTCATGGTGAGTCGTCTTACTTGAACATGTGACACCAGCATCTTCACCATGTCCACAGTTATGTGTCCTAAATGCTCTGTGTCGACACTCGGTTAGAGAGCTTTCAGTTCCTGAACAGGCCACATTATTGACCCAGACCCAGCAGGTCTGATCTGACTATCTGTCAGAGAGATATAACAAAGATTCAAAATCCAAATATTTCCCACAGAACAAAAACAGGAATTTGCTACATGGGAGAATGGACCAACCTGCAACAGGTGAAGATGTCATGAAGAGAAAAGAGACTAGAGGGAAGAATCAAAACTATGCATCAGTGTGTTAACAGAGAATGTATTAAAGCACATGTTGTTTTCAGTGTAACGGTGTGTTCACACCGAACGCAATAGAC